TAATCTTTCAATAGTCTTTCAATAATCTTTTAATAGTCTTTCAATAAGGCCATGGGTGGTGTGTATCTTCTGGCTGACTCTGCGGTGGAATCTATTTTGGGTGTGTTAGTGGTGCTGTGGGTGCGCCCAGCTCAATGACGTATATACTAGAATATTTGTCATAATTCATATTGTATTTTCTAGAATATTTGTCATTGGTCCAGCTCTTCTTGAAGGTGGGTCTCACGTTACCTGCCCACTTTGCAGTGATTCAATGGACCAACTCCCCTCGCACCATCGGTTACTTTCAAACTAACAAACAAATAAAAAAAACTTCAACGTGAATGTAACTTGTAACACAACAAATTATAGAAATGTAGTGTAGAAGAAAGTACAGATACTTAATGTAAATTGTAGCAGAGTAAAAGTAGAAAGTACCCATGTTTAACTCTACTTAAGTAAAGTACAAACAGATGACAAATGTACTTAAGTACAGTAACAAAGTACTTGTACTTTGTTACATCACACCACTGGTGGTGGGCAAGGAGCTGGAGAGAGAGGCCTTTAATGCTAAGAGTGGATCTGACAGAGGGGCAAACTTTAATTGTGGTCCAAGTGGTGGAGCAAGGGACATACACAGGAAAGCCGAGGTCAGAAAATTAATCCAGAGGGAAATCCTTAATCTGAAAACCAATGGGCAGAAAAGAGGTCGTAGTTTCAGAATCAGATGAGCAGAACTAACCAGACACAGAACAGACAGGTCGGAGAATCCAGGAAGACAGGCGTGAGGTCGTAACAAGAAAATCAGGCGTGGGCTTGGAACAAACGATGGACATCTACTGACAAAAGTGTTTGATAATCTGGCAGAGATTTGGTGTGGACAGAGCTCTAATATAGAGCAGGCACCAGGTGAAGAACATGAGCGCTGATTGAGGAAGGGAAGTGGGTGTGACAGGTGGCAGAGAGGTCATGACACTTACCTTAAATGACTTTTTGAAACTGTGACAGCAGTGAAACAATGTAACACATTTGATGTAAGCGAGCTGTGATGTGTTAGTGAGCTACTGAATTTTACTCTGATTGCAGGGATTTTAAAAACAAAAGGATGGACTAAAGAGAGATGGTGATGTAGTTTTATTGCAAGTACAGCAGCTCAGCAACATAAAGGAGATGCTGCTGCAGTGTGTGTTTATCCAGCGTTCAGATCGAGGTCGACTGTCAGCTTTTCAGTGGCCGACAGTTGAAAAGTTTGAAGGACGTGTTGTTCTGTGGAGCACCTCGGTGGTCTCAGTCTATGACTGAAGGTGCTGCAGTAAGAGTCCAGTGTGTCATGCAGGGGGTGGGACGTGTTGTTCAGGATCTGGAGCAGTTTCCTCAGCATCCTCTGCTCAGACACCTCTGTCAGAGACTGCAGGTCCACTCTCAGAACTGAACCAGCTCTCTGGATGAGTTCATCGAGTCTGTTTATCCTCATCTTTCTTCACCCTGCTGCCCCAGCACACCACAGAGTAGAAGAAGATGCTGGAGTCCACCGAGTGGTAAAACATCTGCAGCATGGTCCTGCAGATGTTTAAAGATGAATAAGTAAATAAGTATTACTACCTGTGAAATACTTATTTATACTAATTAATCCTACTTGCACTGTTATATTTACCATGTTGTTCTTTACTATGTTCCTTTTGGACCTTTTGAATCTTATATTTCTTTTCACTTTTTGGTACTTTATTTTGTTGCATGCTTTAGTATTTCTTGTTTTCTTTTTTTGTCTTAGCAACTTGAATCAGTTCCTCTCATCCTGAACATTTCGTTGCATTGTTGACCTTGTGTTAACCTGCATATGACAAATAAACAACATAATAAACCATTTCTGTCTGCAGAGAACAACAACCAGTTTCATTTATCCTCCTTCGTCTGTCACTGTGTTTTCCACTGGTGCTGCCTCTGGTTTCAATGCACTCTGCTGATTTCACTCTTCTCATATTATTAATTGTGAATTTTGTTTTAGTTTCTTGTTTTGGGAGACAAACGAACCCCCTAAACTTCACGGTCACTGTTTTGTTGATTCATATTACCCTTCAACTAACGTGCTGTCCAGATAAATAAACCTGAGAAGAGCTCAGTATTTTGGTGCGTGGTGCTGAAAGAGGTTTTATAGCAATTTGAACCACACAAGTACCGGAGATAAAGAAAAAATAATTGGGATGGTGACACTTCTGCGGCAGGATTTGACTTGCTGTTCTTAATAGGTGTGCACGTGTGTTGTTGCTGAGGCCAGCACTGGTATTAATAAAACGGACTGCAGCAGCTGGTGAAGAGGAGGGATGGTCAGCAGTGGGGATGCAAAATCCTCCTTTAATGAGTCCTTTGGGTGAAGCGAAAACACGGTGCTAATATTTTACACTACAGTGCAAATAGTGACGACAAGCTGTGTACTTTCAGTAATATCATCCCAGTACAAGCTTTGTATAAATACACCCTGATAAATGGTTCATGCTGGGAAGAAAATCAAAGAGATCTTATTGGGATTTTGATTATAACACTTAAAGCCTTGGTTCAGCTGTGTGGCTAACTCTTTGAAAGATCTCAGCTTGGAGGCATCATTGTTGTCAGTTTTGGTGTGGAGTAAGAAGTACACTAGATGTGCTACAGCTAGCTGCTACTGATGCTTGGAGGTTGAAAAGAATCATAGAAAGCTAAACAGGCTGCCGTCAGGTGCAGGCCTCCCTTGAAAAAGAGACCTGTGATCTCAATGGACTGGCCTCGTTCAATAAAGTTTAAATAAATAAATAAATAAAAGTCCATATAACCTGTTGTGTAATATGATACTGATGGTTGTGTAACTTGTTCAGTCATTTCTTTATGAACGCCTATAATTTTTTGGAGATTGGAGTTTTAAGAAATATATCAGTCCACTTTGGCTTTGTCTCATCAGTCTGGTCAGAAATAAACTATTTCTCCAGGCTAAGGTGGTTAAAAAATATATCTACAACAGGTAAGATAATTGTTATACTGTCAGATAAATATGTGATTTTTTTCCCCCAGTATGAACTCAAAGAATATTTGTTTGTTTTTAAATAGAAAATATTCAGAGTCCTGATGTTACCTCGTGTGATATCAAGCACTTCAGGATCAGCTTTCTTTAAGGAATGCACCTGATACATTTCATAAATTTATGGTGCTCAGAGACTGCATTACAAATGACTCTCAGCTACTACCACACCATATTTTAGCTCATTATCTGTAAAACTGGTTTACTTATAGCCATTTTTATGTTTCCTAAGCTCTCTTAACTGTGGCGGTCTTCTTCAACTGGACTGATTTTATAAGCTAATAAGTTCTGGAAGTACATCCAATAAATACATTATTAAAGTTCAAGTATAACCAGTTGTTCAGGATATATTTAGCTAATGCTACAAACAAATTAACACATGAACTCGCAACTAAACATATGCATGGGCAACAACGTTATCGCTCATTTGTCTCTGGCAAGGTGTAATAATTAATCACTGATTTAGCAGTCTAATTCAATTAAAGCTTTTATTTTGATGCTGATCATTAGGCGATTATCAGCCGAGTGTTTTATTCAATTAAATACAAAATATTGTGAAATTGTGTTCAGAAAAGCTCCAAGCTAAAGACTGAAGCACAAACACAAAGCTGGTTTTTACAATTCACATTCAAGACAAAACACTTTGTAAATGATACAAGAAACTGATGTAGCATCAAGTGCTCTTTAAAAAGTTCTAATAATGTCATATCACTTCTTGATTAATCATATTATACCAAGATCTTTATATTAATGTGGAACAACTGGAGAGCGAAGCCAGTCTATTTTCATTATGAAGAAAAAAAAAAACATTTGTACAATTATAAATGTGCTTGCAGAATGAACTGAACTGAGCACAGACTGCAAACTAGATGGAAATATTGATTTTTACCGTTTATGAGATTTGCATAAGAATGAGTCTATAAAGACAACATGTAGCCACAGCACAGAATCTTCCTAATCTATCTTTAAATTAGTTTTCCAACAGGTATGTCTACAGAACTGTTTCTTGTCAATCTCATGTGAAATTGACCTTTTTTTTTTTTCTGCAAAGGCCATAAAAGTTTTCTTTTTTCAGAGTCAGCCTGAGATGGAGTACTCTTTGCCCGAGCTGCAGGCTCCTCGATCCAACGTGGCCGACAAACCCTGGCCTCAAGTCCACTCTCACACCCAGAGACCCCACGGTTAGCTCATTTACACTTACACATTTATCATGCCATTTTTTTTTAGCAACGTGTGTGCTGTATTCTACATATTTCACAACAAATCAATGCCTGCTTTGTAAATTATATGGTAGGTGTGAGGGGTCGTGGAGAAAAGGGAGCCCCTAAAGCAGCAATGAAAGGGAAGCGCCCCGTCCAGCACACAGAGGACCTCGCAGCTGACCATGACTTCCTGGGCTGCATGTCAAGGTCAGTCATTCTGCTGAGACAGTAACAAGTCAGACTGAATCCATGATACCAGCACCTGCATGAGCAAACCAAGCAGGACGTGCTCTTGTCAATCAAAGCTTTTCTTTTACTTTTACCTGCTTTCCTAATGTTTACATAAAGAAGGGTACCTGCAAAATCTTTGCTCGAAACAAAGATATTGTTCCTGTTAGAGTAGACTGCATATATTGTCTCATGTTGAGTGTTCACAGAAACAGTTGCACTGCAATAATACTTTGTCTCTGGGCAAACCTTTGTCAGATTAGTTAATACTTGGTTTGTATGATTTATTGTAAATAAAAATACATGTTCAGGCTGCTTTTTAATACACCGTAGAATATTATATTATTAGTGTTTAGCATATAGATCCTTATATACTGTTTTCTTTTATACTTTATAGTTTTGCTCTTTTTGGGTGTAACTGAGATCTTGTGTACACAATTTCCATCAACCTCATGTACCACATGTGATGCGAATGACAATAAACTTGAACCTTGAACATAAATCCTTGTTACAACTGAAATTAGCCATCTTAGTAAAGATTTTTAATCATATAATATCAGTTTTATAAACCACAGTTAACACTGTTCATTAATCCGAGTTGTTTAAACCATCGGTTCCCAACCCTGGTCCTTGAGGAACACCATCCTGCATGTTTTAGTTGTTTCCCTGCTCCAACACATCTGATTCAGTGATTCAATTACTTCATGTTCTGCAGAAGCCTGTTAGTCACCCATTAATTAAAATCAGGTGTGTCGGAGCAGAGAAAGAACTAAAACATGCAGGATGGTGTTCCTCAAGGACCAGGGTTGGAAACCTGTGATTTAAACACATACAAAGAAGGATGCAGTAGTGTTGGCAGTAAATGGTTTAAAACATGCAAAAGCACCTGATTCATGACTTTAAACGTTGTGTTTGTTAATGCGTATTAAAAATGGTTTGTAATGTATTTATAATTGTTTTGTAAGATGGTTGAAGAGGGGTTCAGTGTGCCCCTGTTTTCACCTCGCTCTCTGTTCCTCCCAGACGTTCGGGTCTTCCACGGTGGATTTTAGCAGCTTGCCTCTTCCTGTCCATCATGGTCATGTTGTGGCTCAGCTGTGCCAGTCTGGTCACCGCTCCGGAGCAGCATATCAAAACGCAGGTACGTCTCTGCAAGAATCTGACTCTGGGTTTCATCACCAGGGTCCTCATGTGTCGACGGTGCATAAGCTGAAAATGGCTGTGTGTGCGCCGCAGGTTCCACACGCATGACGGGATGTATCTCAACAAACATTTCGGACCTACCGTGAAAAAGTGCTTACCTCCACGCAAACGTTTTCAGTCCACAGTACCAAACCACACAGTACTAAAACCCAGACAAATATACCGGAACACGACTCCGTTTGGTTTTATGAACTTAATGAGGCATTTAAATACAATGTTGTTTGTTTTTCACAAGTTTGGGAATTTATGGTTTAATTCCAAATAAAAAACTGAGCTACATTAACCTCATACAGCATAACTTAGATGTTTTATGTTGGGGGAGGTGTCGTCTCACGTGCACGCTTAGTTCCACGTTCGTTGGGATGTGTGAAGGAAAGGAGTGCAGAAACATGCGTGTGCGCGGTTTGATAAATCTGAATATTTCTGTGTGCGTGCATTTTTCTCATTTTGTCACCGTGCCAGCTCTCAGCTGTGCACTCTGATGCACGAGGCCTCTGCTGTTTGTAGCTCTGTCTGAGAAATTTGTTTTTTAATTCTCTAAAGTTGACAAAACTCTCAAAATTAAGTAATTTATGCTTCTTTTTTTTTTTTTTTTCTGAACAACGCCGATTATTTGGTAACACTGTACAATAAGGTACACAAAATTTGATTAACTATAGGGAACGCCTCAGGAACAAATCAGGAGCTAATAGATCATTAACCAGTACTTACTGGGGAACGCATAGCCAAGTCTAACTAAGAGACTACTGGTTAGTTTAGTTACCTGGGAAACGAAGAGGAACTAATCAGGAGCTAATGGGGAGTTAACCAGTACTTACTGGGGAACAAAAGAATCCTCTTTGTTTTCCTTTGTAATTACCCATTCGTTTTTGATTAGTTCCTCTTCATTTACAAGGTAACTAACCAGTAGTCCCCTTATAAGACTTGGCTGTGTGGCCCCCAGTAAGTACTGGTTAACTACCCGTTAGCTCCTGATTCGTTCCTGAGGCGTTCCCTAGTAGTTAAGCAAATTTTGTGTACCTTATTGTAAAGTGTTACCAATTATATTTGATCATCGCCAGCTTTTCATGGTGGCGAGTGACAATGTAATTGCTGTGCCTGCGAGTGCGTTCATTTGCCTGTCTGTTAGCAAAATATCTCATGAATCACTGAATGGATTTGAATGAAACTCGTAGAAATTATTTGCTGATTGTATGTCTACAACTGATTAACTTTAGGAGTCAAGATGATTCAAGATGGCTGCCACAGCCAATCAACTTAACCCAACACAATAAAGGCTTCATCGCAGTCATTTTACAGACATTGAGCTAACAATCGGTGTGTTTTTAGCTGAGAGTCGTTCCCATCGCACCCTCCCAGTTCTAATTGATTAAATCTTTGACCTGCAGGCTGGTGGGTGATGACTGATAATCTAGATTTGATCTGCATTTGAGACGAACAACCATTCAGTTCATTAAATGTTGTAGCATTGCATTTGATCTTCAGCCTGCTCTTTCAATGACATGCATTCCTACATTTGAGCTATGCAGTTTTGTTTGTTATTTTATCTCAAGCTTTATTTCTTGAGCCTTTAGCTAAAGCTTGTTTGCAGACTTGTGAAAACTGCAGTCCTCTTTATCTCCTCACCTCAGGAGCTTTAGGTTACCATGACAACGAGCACTTTTAAATGGCGAACATAAAACAAAAAACAGCTCAAGTGTTTGATAATTCAAGATAAAATGTAATTATTTTGATTATTTTTTTCTTTGTGTCTCTGCAGCTGAGTATCAACGGAGACAAAGAGTTTCTGGAGCACGTGCACAAGGTTAACCCTTACCACCTTAGTCCCATGATAGCCGTCACCGTGAAGCAGTCGGAGGAGAGTCAGGAAGCCGGACCGCTGCCCGTCAAAGTCGACCTCAACAAAACGTGCGTTTAGGAAGAGCAAGCGGGACGGCTGCTGTCTCGTTTCCGTCTGTAACAGACGTGTCGAAACTTTGTGGCCTGTCAGTGAGTCGAAACACATCACGCCACTCGTTCTGCAGAATGTTTCCAAACATGTAATAAAAGCATGGCACGCTCCCTGTCATTTAAAACGATTCGAATCATCTTGCTTCTGTCAGTTCCAATAAGTTCCTTCAGTCGGCAGCACAGCCATCCTTGTACAGTCCACATATCTGCACCTGTAGATTGTGATTAACGATCCGCCCGCTCGTTGCTTTACTGATGCAAGCAGGGAGGATAGATTACAGCCGGAGACGTTTTTCATGTCTGCTGTAGAAAAACTCACAGAGATTTATGTTAGATTTAATTCCCCTCATTCTCACAGAGATGGGATTAATTAAAAACGGCTCGCTTTGTGTAAAGAGACAAAACGAAGTCAGAGAGAGATGAATTTGAGATGAGTATATACCTGACAGAGCTGCAGGAAACAAACACTGTAACTAATGTTTATGATCTGCATACATTATCAGCATGACGGGCTGTTTGGAAACATCTCAAATCACCCAGAAATTAAAATTCATAATCTTCACTGACTTGTCAGGTGAGTAATTCTCAGCAGGGTAACCGAATAAAAACAAATTTGTGTCGTTTTGTGATCTAAATCCTTTGTTAGGATGGATCTGCCCTCAATCATTTACGGAAAAGACTGTTTGAGAATGAGCAACCTTTGATTTTCTCTATTTATTCTGGAGCGTCAACGTGAGTTAACCTGTTAAATAATGCTGAAGGGACATGCAGCATACACATGTCAAGGCAGAGACAAGTTGGAGGAATATTGCACCCGTTTCTGGATTACAATCATTATTACTAATAATATAATTATTACATCACTTCGAGAGTTTGTAGCTGTTCCATGTGCTTTCCAATAGCTGATGATTTTGTATGTCCTAGGAGCACATACTGAAGGATGATCCCTGTAACAAATGCAAAGCTTTTTACACAGATTTGTGTTTCTGAACAGACCTTCAGTTTTCCTCTCAGTGCTGTTAACGTCCTGTAGCGCGCTCTTTTAACCCAAGCAATGTAGACAATTAACTGTGCATGCAAGCAATTTTTTATATTTAAAATCATTTGATCGGTTCTTTACTATTTGCCACGTTTGTACGGCGCAGCTCTACCGTGGACTTGTTTTTGTGTTCGTATTTCCAGCTACATCATATAGAATGTGTAATAATGATTATATATCTTCATAATGTAAAAGGAGGACTGTTTATTTAAAAAGCCATCTGATTAAATATCTGTGCCCAATCGAGCTGAGGGGACGTCACGAGGATTACGATGTGAATCTCAAAACGGTGTTCTTTTCTTTTTACTGGTATGTTTTAATTTCAATAAAATGAGTCGACATGATCAGATCAGCTGTTTTCATTGTAAATAAGTAGAAAACGCAAAGTGAAGGTTTTTTTTTCTTATAGAAAGAAAAATATTTAATAAATGGATGATTCACATTCTATATTACTGGAGTGTTTTTTGTGTAAAGGTTTGCTTGTTACTTTTATTATAAACAAACAAACAAAAAAGTTTGGGTCTTTGGGATGCCAGGAAAAGTTTATGAGTGTAGTGAACTTAATCTGGTGTCACGACTAAGCCTAAGGTCAAAATCCTTGACCTTAAGAACCTTGTGGGACAGAAACTGTCATTTCATTGATTTGAATCCAGAAATACAGGTTCACCCATCCTGAGACTTTCTTTCTTGAAGATTCAAGTGAAAAGAACACTCTCTTTTTTATTATCATTACTATTTTACAAATGTTGATAATCAAAGTGTCTTAGTTCAAACCATTTTAGATGTTGCAGTGAACTAATCAATTTTATTAACTGTGTAATGATTTTTTCTCATGCAAAGTTAGAATTCATGTTGAGGTCTGTTACAGATTTTTATGCATTTTCTGATTTCTGCCTTTGAATGAGCAAGTGTAAGTTGGTCCAAGGTTGGAGTCAAACGCAAAACAAGTTGTTGGAACGAACTGTCATGTTTTTAGAATCCTCTCAGACGTAAATATAGAGGTTTTGGCACCTGTTTCTGAAACGCGCCAAAACAAAACTCTCTCTGTCTGTGAGAACATTTCTGATCTGTCCCATAACAATTCTTGCTGTCTTCTAACCTTTTACGTCACAAAACACACCCCGTCTGGTCGGTTCTGGCCAATGGGAATACTCCCAGATGAACCGAAAAACAGCTCTTTAAAATGTCGGTACTTCCTGGTCTACTCAGTTCTGGGACAGTTCTGTTCAGTTCTGATGGAGATCTGTAAACTACTCAGTTCTGCTGGAGTGCTGTGAGGGTTCCACTCGGTTCGGTTGAGTTCAGTTCTGTTCAGTTCTGTGCGGAGAAGCCCAGTTCTGGGAGACGGGAAGATCCTGACATGACAACAGAGCTCTTCCGAGTCATGGGAATATAACACTTTCCACTCGCCACTACTTCTGACGAGCTACAGCCATCCTAAGGAGACGCTGGACAGGTAGCGTTAACGGAACTCCACATCTGCTGATTAATCTCAGAAAGGTAATGAGTCAAGTTTCCTACCAAGCGTACCGAGGTGAGCTGGGTTCTGATGGAGAGTGTCGGTTCTGGTGAACACTTCCCCTCACATACCATCTTTACTCCCTTTAACTTCTTTCCCATCTTTAAACTTTCCTCTCAAGTAGAAATTCTTCCAGATATTTTAGAAATGTCTGTGTAAAGTGCTCATCCACATCCGTGTGGGTAAAAGATCATAATTGTACAGTTTTCATAAATGTCTGTGGTGAAGCAACGGAAAAATCATGGCCGTATGATTTTTCCTGATTGATTGCTTATGTTGTTATTTTCATAATTTGCCAAATTAATGTAAATGTTTGATGTTAAACTTTGATTCTGTAAATAAATGACCGCATTCATTTTGATGGGTCAAATATAAATGACGTCTCACGTTTGCATTTCATTAAATTCAATGCACGTTTTATTCAGTCCAGAAAAATGAGGAATCCGCGTTAATTGATGAATATATCTGAGCATCTGTTCATCTACATGAGCAATTAATATCTTACATGATGTAAATAGCTCTTTGGAGGACCACCGCGTGGAGAAAAGAAGTTTATTTTTTACAGATTGTCATACATGTGGCAGAAGCAATGCAATAATCGATGTTTTATACTAAACCTTTGTGTCACTATCAAATGACACCGTTGTATAGCATTATAAGACAAGAGTTATGTGTTGTCATTGTATGGTCCCATACAATGGTGAAATTGGTCTTTGCATTTAACCCATCGCACCCGGGATACACCCAGGTAGAGCAGTGGACAGCTACGTAAGCTGCTCGGGGAGCAGTTAGGGATTGGGTCTTGCTCAGAGACACCACAACATGTGGGAATGGCTGGGGATCGAACCTGGGACTTTTGGGTCCCGAGTCAGCTGCCCTACCTCTACCTCATCTCGGCCCCTATTATCTGTTTGGCACAAACAGCGCTAGTTAGCTGTAGTCCTGGTGCAGCCTGGATCACTTCAGAAAAGTTATACATAATGTAAACAATGGCATAGAGGGTCTAAATATATATTAGTTTTTGAGATTACAGTTGTTTAAACATAAAAGTGAACACGTTAACCAGTTATACAGCAGTCAGTTCACTCAGGTCCATGACTGTCTTACCTTTACTAAATGCTGATGTAGATTTTCAGTCATCCAGGACATGACCAATCATAAAAGTTTAAAAACAAAGCAACTAGACTTCTGATGTGCAGTTGTCAAAGACTACCTGACAAACAGACCACAGTTTGTGAGACTGAAGGGTTGTGTGTCTAATCAGGTGTTCAGTAGCTCAGGAGCACCACAGGGAACTGTACTCTCATCATTCCATTTCACTCTGTACGCCTCAGATTTCCAGTACAAAACAGACTCCTATCATCTGCAGAAATATTCAGATGACTCTGCAGTGGTTGGATGTATCAGAGATGGACAAGAAGCCGAGTACAGGAAACTGGTGGACCACTTTGCAGCATGGTGTGTTAGAGTACCACCGTCTGCAGCTCCTCTCTCCAAGATGGCTTCTACTTGCTACCAGCTGTCGGCCATCTACCTGATGAGAGTTAACACTACTTAAGGCTGCAGTCGAGTGCTACTCTTCGCTGGAGCATTATACTCTTCCATGGTATTTATGTATTTAGCAGCATTGCTAAAAATACAAAATATTTGCCTTGCTCTTTGTGTCTTCAGTCATCCTGATTCCTTGGGTCCTGTCCAGTCCTGGTCCAGCTTTCGTCCTATTCCTCATTCCTCACGCCTTGCTCTCCAGCCACTTGCCTGCCCTGCCTGATCCTCCATCTCTGGAACCCTTTTCTGGATTACCTCAATGCTCCACCTCAACGTCCAGACCTGTAAGGAGAAAAACAAACAAATTAGTCTCGAGCTTCAACACCTGCTTCGAGAGCCAAGACCTACCTGACCTTGTCCTTTCTCCTCAGGGGTTCCATGAGAGCACATGTAAATACTATCACCCACTGTATATAATAGACACTGTTAAACCTTTATCTTAGAGTCTTGTCTAGTTCCGGGTCTCATACTAATCTGGGTTCCCCGAGATCATTACATGGTGTGAAAACAATCATCTCATCTTGAATGTGAATAAAACAAAGGATATGATTGTAGATTTCAGGAGGAACAGGTCAAACACATCATGGGGGAAGAACTGGAGGTGAAGTATAAACACCTTGGGGTTCACCTGGACAACACACTGGACTGGAGATGCAAATGTGAAGCTGTCTACAAGAAAGGACAGAGCAGACTGTACTTCTTGAGGAAGCTGAAGTCCTTCAGTGTTTGCAGCAAGATGCTGCATATCTTCTATAAGTCTGTTGGAGAGAGCGCTATCTCTTCTGCCATCATCTGCTGGGGACTCCTCTAGAACTGAGATGATTGTACAAAGGACTCTTCATAAAATGAAGACCATTATAGACAACCCTCAGCATCCTCTTCATATATGGGGGCCAAGATGGTGTAGAGGCAGGGCAGCTGGCTAGTTGGGACCCGAAAGTCCCAGGTTCGATCCCCAGTCACTGCACATCACGTGGCATCTCTGGGCAGCACACCTGATCCCCAAAATGCCCCCCGGGCGCTTTCAATAGCTGCCCACTGCACCACCTGGTGGCAAATGGGTTAAATGCAGAGACTAATTTCACCATTGTATGGAAACATGCAGTGCTGACATTGTGATGACATTATTATTATTATCAGACTGTCCTACAACAACAGAGTGTCTTCAGTCAGAGGCTTCTTCAGATCTGCTGTAAGACAGACCGCTACAAGAGATCCTTCCTGCCCACAGCCATCAGCATCTACAACAACTCTTTAATGAAACCAGGATGACGAGTTACAACATTTAACTCCCCTCTGGGATTAATAAAGTATTTTTGAATTGAATTGAATTCATGACAAAAATGACATTTGCACAAACATATAAATGTTTATCATGCATTTTATGTATGAGAAGCCAAACCATCAAAGGACACTGTAAAAAAATGTACCTAATGAAGTTCAAAGTAAAACAAAACTCCAAAGGTGAAAAGGAATCCACAGGAAAATGTTTACGTAGTAGAGGAGGCCTAAATGTAGAAGACAGCAAGCGCATTATTCTGAACATATTTACAACCTACAGTATTTGTTTTTTTTAACAAACAAAAAAAGATGACATTTTCTAATATTTACCGCAAAACTGTAAGCAAATGAGGTTTCAGTTACAAACTTCCTCATTTGAGTCTTAGCTACAGCATTACAACCAGCACTTTGGTAAATTAAAGCATGAAGCTTTAAATTAAAGCACGAAGCTCTAAATGTCACGAAGGCATTGTTTCCCTCCTATATTGTTATTTTTGAAGCAAGTTGCCAAAATGACATCCTTCTTGTGTAGTAAGTAATTAAAACCACTAGATGGCAACAAAGTTCAAGATGTTGGAAAAGAGCTTTTTGGCTCATATGTTGGATTAAAAAAAAAGTCTGCTGGACCCTGGTTGACATTCAGCTTCAAGAGCACAATCTAAAAAGAACCTTTGCAATAATTGTTTCTAAATCATTTATCAACTCAGCAAACACTTTACTTTTAAAATGACAAAGAAAACGTCAGAAAAAAAGCAACCAGTGATCATCGGTGAGGTGCCAACATTGTTACTGGGACAAGTGCTGAGTGAATAAATGATGAAAAAGGTGCTTCACAAAATGTGCCATGAGGTGCTTCAGCTCATTTATGAAAACATTAGAGCAGCTGCCTCCTAAAGAGCACATTCAGACAAAATCCAAATCTGTTGTTCATCACAAAAGAATCGAGGAGACAGACTGAAATTTGCGTCGGCTTCTCTGTCACAGCATCAAATACAGAGCAGATTCTACGAATTCACAGTCAAACAGCACAAAACA